TTAATGGATAAATTTAAATTAACAAAGTTGGTGCTTTGTTCCAAAACCTTCTTCCTGCAGTCAAAAATATAAAAAACAATTTTATCTGTCAATGTGTCAATTAATTGCATTTATTCTCTTGATTTCAAATATATATGAGTAATTAGGGGTATCTTTGACAGATCTTGAAATATGGCGCATTTTATGTAATATTGCATGTTAATTGCTAGGAAGTCAATAGCTATTGTGTCAAAAATCAAATTAGGAATGATAGCTGTTGTCATGGAAACTAGCGTAGTTAACTGTTATATATTAAAATGGTATTTACACAAGCGGAAAAGTATTTTTTCTACTCCCGTCTGTAAAACACCTATCTTGCGTGCGGGAAGCGTCACTTTACCACGTCAGTTTCGTTTCCCATGAATCCGAGCCACTTCGGACACTTCTGGGATTTTACCGCACGGATTTGGGAGCAATCGGATGTTTTCGGAGATATTTAACACGCTTTGAATTTTGACGTTTGTCAATTCTGAGGGTCATGTCAGTGAATGTATTTGTGTTTTGCGAAAATGTACCCAAAAACTAACGGTCGTAGAAAAAGTATAGTATGCAACACGTTCGGTAAACTTTTTAACTCACTCGTTTATTAAAAACTCGTGAGTCAAATGCCGTTTACCACACTTGTTGCATAATATACTATTTAGATTGACTGCATTTGAATTTATTGATTTGATTGTTTTCAACGGAATTTGAAATATCGAGCGGTTTATTTAATATTTGATATAAGGAAGTCAATAACTATTGTTTCAAACTTTAAATTAGCGATGAAAACGAACTTAGTTACTTTTTTAAAATATAGTAACATACCTACTACCTATATAACTTATATAACAATATTAAATACTTCAGCATTATCAAAAAACGTCTTACTAAAGCATTGTTTTTAATATCCTAAATATATTTCACAAAATATGTTCGAAATGACCTCCATTCATCTGCACGTATTCACTTTTGTGTAGGTTTTCGATACACCTTCAAAGAAGTTTTGGTTTTTGGCTTTAACTTCTCGTATTTTGTTTTTGTATTTCCACAATTGTTGCCGGCTCGCGATTTTAGCAATCCCCATAAAAGGGTGTCAATGGAAGTTAGATCTGGATTGTTAGGAGGCCAGAGTTTTACACAATTTTTTCCTATCCAGACATTGTATCTATTTGACAAATATTCTCTTACGTCTCTTACATTGTGACATGGTGCTCCCTCCTGTTGCTATATATATGTTTATATTTACAGCAATCAATATATTCCTCAAATCTAAATCGAAGGAAATCGAAATATCGATCACCCGTTACATTTCCTTGAAAAAAAAAAAACGGACTTCAAAAGTCTAGAAGAAATAATTTCGCACCTATAGATTGACGACCCGATTTTTTAATTGTCAAAATTTCGTGGGGATTTTCGTTTGACCAGGAATGTGTGTTTTTTAAATTAGGCGGTGCGCCCGTATTAAGTGTGGACTCATCTGTAAACAGTATATTGTGAATGGAATTAGGTGATTCATGAATTCGTTCTAACAGTGCGGCAAAACTCAAGACGTCTCTGTCTGTAAGATGTTGAACTTTTGTCAACGTAGAAACATGCATTTATGTGTTTTTAAAATCGGCTGAATTTTACTTTTACTTAAATTCATATCCCGCATGCAATCTGGAATAGAGTTCGATGGATGCTTTGAAAAGAAATATTTTGAAACCTTGGTTTATGCAATTCGAATTAATACATTTTAATTTTAATAGTAGTGAAGTTCTCACACATCAAGTTCTTCAGCCGTTATGAGTGACTAATAGTATATTATGACTAATAGATTATGTAACAAGTGGGGTAAACGGCATTTGACTCACGAGTTCATTTGACACGAGCGGAGCGCAGCGGAGCCAGTGTGTAAGAAACGAGTGACCTAAAAAGTTTACCGAATGTGTTGCATACTATACTTTTGGGTACATTTTCGCAAAACAACACGAATACATTCACTAACATAACATAAAGAATTGATCAACGTCAAAATTCAAAGCGTGGGAACTATCCCCGAAAACATCCGATTTCAATTTATGACAGTTAACAATAACTATGGCTAATTGGACGTTTGATACAATAGTTAACATGCAATATTAGATAAAATGCGCGATATTTTAAAATCTGTCAAAAATAACCCTAGCAACTCATCAAGAAAAATCAAGAGAAAAATGCAATTGATTGACAAATTGAAATAAAAATAATTGCAACAACAATTTAAAAACATTGCCGACCTCTCAAAATGTGACAGATATACTTGTTATTAATTTTGGTAATATAGACTTCATCGTAGGGTCAATATTAACAATGTTCAAAAGAAATAAAAACTAAAAGTTCAGATTTTCACGAAATTATATATTTTTACGTGACAATTGTTTCGACAACACTGTGTCTTTATCAAATGTGATAAAGACACGGTGTTTTCAAAATCGTTGTCATGTAAAAATATATAATTTCGTGAAAATCTGAACTTTTAGTTTTTATTTATTTTGATAAATAGATTTTCATCAAATAAAAGCCACTTCAGTTCAATTAACAAAGTAATCGATTTGATAATTTATAATGGGACACCCTGCGTATGATCTAATGCGCTAGATGAGTTTCAGTTCAGCTAGAAAAAGCCAATACATCCGTTCGCTAGCAGTGTGTTCAGCTAACCCAGGAGTTGACTTATAAACTAGACACCAAAATTATATTATTTATAAAGGATAATAACAATAAATCATGTGAAATTTTTATATTTACATAAAAGGAACAAATAAATACTGATATTATGCGAAGATTAGCTACAAATTTTGCTTTTTACTAACTTAAAAATATTGCGACGATATAGGATAGTAAGCTTTACCTAATGTATTAAAAATGTGTCTTCTGAGGACCAGCTTAGGAATTGGGTATATCTATTAATCAATTTCCAATTGTTTTAAAGTATACATTTAAATATTTTAATTTTGTTTTGAATGCCTTTTAAAATTATTTACCCTTTTTAATAATTCATGGGGGTTGAAACCTGTCATAGATATATATAAATAGATAAATAGTAAAGTATTAAAAACAGGTATACGACATACTTAATAAAAGTTGCAGCTTTTGTTTTTGAAGAGAGAGTAATATATATGGCGAGCCATTTAAAAAAATTGAGATTATTCAATTTTAAATGATCCGAATATATTTATATCTTTTACGTCTTCTCGAATAACGCTAATCCCAAATATGAGTGATAACATTCAAAAATTAAAATATGTATTATTATTATTAATAAAAAAGTTGAAGAATTTTAAAACGAATTCGAAACAAAATTTACAAATTGTACGTTTTAGTCACTCTTTTTTGTGACACCCTGTATACTTTAAAATAATTTAAAATTGTTTATCCTAACAATCTTTACATATTTTGTATTTGCCATTTTCTCAGAACTTTTCAAACCAATGGGATAATTAACAACATACAATAACGTAATTAATTGTTAACATGCAACAAAAATTTTGGCCAAAAGAAATTTCAGGTTAACAGATGGCGATGATGTCCTCGTTGAAAAAGATAATAGTCTAAGATCCTTAGCAAGACTATTTTTAATTAAAAATTAATTAATTTCATTTTTTTTTCTTGGTTACCGTCAGTATTTTTCTTTATAAATTTAGTCACGATCAAAGAAAAAAAGTATATAAAAAATGCCATACAATGTTTGACTACCTTTTTTTAGGCAACAATATGTGTCAGCGTGTGTCAGTGATTTACCCTCATTCTTTTTCTTTAAAAATTGAACATGTAAATATACAGAATTTTGTTACGAACCTAACGATATATGATTGACTTTCCAAATCCAAAATAGTCTTGCTAAGATATAGACTGTCAATTATTTCTCATTTGATTAATCAATAAGTTTTATTATTAAAAAAAATATTTTATCGCGGAAAAGAATCAGGGGTGTTGTTCTTAAACCGGATCCTCTGCTATAAGACGTTTCATCTGAAATTATGCCCAATGCCCGCTTTTGATCAAAACTAATTTCCAGCATGAGTCAACATCATCCAGGTGTACTTTGTCAATGAATTCTATAAATCTCGCCAAGCCTGTTACGACGTTGATTTCTATCTTGTTTTCCTAGAGGGATTCTATTCTACGTTATCATTAGATTTGAACAAATGGGGTTTGGAATTTCAAAGAAGACTGATATTGCATCCGGCGTCTTTCAAGGAGAGTCTTCGAGTCCATATCTTTTTTAATATTTTTCGCTGAGCTTCAATTCTTTAGGCAACACGGTGTGACTTGTCAATCCACGCCAGCAACGAACTTCTTATTCTGCTCTATGCTGATTACCTCGTAGACTCCGCGACTGACATTAAATACAAGTAAAAACTCTTCAAAAAATACATTTTTAGTTCTTACTTGAACAGATTGTAGCCTAGGGTTTTACTTTTGTATCAGTCTGTAATTTCACTGTGCATTTTTTAAAAGTTTTATGTAGAAATGTCTATAAAATAAATAAATTAACAAATGGTCTCAAACACCAAAATCATTAACTTTGGGATTTTTAGAGAAATGATAGAAGCTTCTGTATTTACCGTAGCATTAAGTATGCATTCCCATTTAAAGATCCTTGTTATAGGAATAGATGCATTTCCTAATAAAAGTATTTAATTATCTACCAAATGAATTTAAAATATTAATGTTGGTTATCAAACCAATAATATTCTATTTGAGCTGTTGTGTTTAACTTAATATAATACCTGTCCATAGACTCACATCTCTCGTTGTATAATTTTTCTATAATTTTTTAAGCAAGTTATGTTCTTAAAAATGCACATTTAAAATTTTCACATGATGTGTTTCATTTATTTTCCTGTATATTTCTTTAGTGAATATTTACTTAATCCAATAAAGACCTTTATTGTTATTATCGTTTTAGATATTGTTTTAGATTTGTTATGAGTTTGGGTTCCTTCAGGACTCACCTATCCATGAAGCCTGGTCTACAGTCGCAGTGATGGTGCCGTTGGTCTGGGGCTCGATCTGAGGAAGTAGGACAGCCGAATACCCTATGGTCATGCCGCAGGCAACCGTCAAGAGCAGGGGCCCGGCCGCACCCAAATTCTGTAATCAAACTTTGAAGTGAATAATACGCTCTAACTAACCAACCAACTAACCAAAAATATAACAGAAATACTTAATAATAATATATCTAAATTGCAAAAACAAGAAATAAGCTAGAATTGTCTATCGTGATCATTGTCAGCCATGATTTATACTATGTGTTTGGTTGTATCAACAGCTGCTCAATATTTATAAAAACGGTGCATGTATATCGAAAAATTCCGATAATTATAATTATCATAGCAGAATTTATTAAAACCTTGTCATAGATTCAGGGTGTCTATGGTATTCATTTTGACTTGTATTGTCTCTGAGTGTCAAAATAACATCCTTAGAAAACATATCAAAAAACATATAAATTTAAGATTTTAAAAATAAGTCAAAAATTACACTGAAAAGCGATCAAAGTGAGAGTGGTGGGATTTCGAGGTAAGCATACAATTATATCTAAAAAACAGTTAGGTTTCCAGAGACACAAATCCACAAGAGATGCACTACTTAATCTGATGCAATAGAAAACAAGAAAGCTTCCTTGTGCGTTTTCGTTGATCTTACGAAAGCCTTCGACACAATATGTCACGCCAAATTAAAAAAAAAATCGACAAATATAAAATCAGAGGTAGTGCATTAAACCTTTTACAAGGCTACCTGAAAAATTGTAATCAATTTGTCAATAACTTGTTCATATTATATATAAACGATCTCTTATAAATTGATAGTTAAGGTACCATGTTCGGTTTTGCAGATGACACCGCCATATTTTACACCTCAGAAAAGTGAGATCAACTTAAGTGCATTGTAGAGCGAGTGGTTTAAGTAGAAAAAACTGACGTTAAACAACTCTAAGACAAAATGTCTTTCTTCTTTTTACATTTATTCTAATATTCTATCACACTTTGAAACCACCAAACTGGAACAAAATATCTAAAGACTGATTCTGCCCTACTCACATTTTATATAACCTAAATAGTATGCCATTAATTGAAAAAAAAATATTTCGTTATATTAATTATGAACAGGCACTAACAAGCAGTTCAAGCAGCAGTTCAGTGCTGAACAGTTTATTTTTATTATTATTATTATATTTTCTTTATGCCGAATATTTTCAGCAGGTATATAAGGAGAAAAATGTTGCTCATCAAAATATTCCTCCGTTTATTCATATTTGGTCTTAAATAAGGACCCCGGCCCTGGTGAAATTCCTCTCTTGGTTTTAAGACCTTGTAGTTTTATTAAATTACTTGAAATATATTTTTAAAACTGGAAATAAAGCAGACGTCTCCCACTACAGACCCTTATGTAACCTAAGCCATTGTTGAAATCTATTTTCAGTTCATTAATATTTGATGAGCAGTTTGGTTTTTTAACAGTCAAAATCTATCAGGACTATCAGGGTATCCAAGGCATTTCGATAAGGTCAATTTATTTTTAATATTTATTAATGACTTTAAGCCTTCTAGATTGTTATGTTTTGGGGATGATCTAAAATGCTGTCGGGATATTTCCTCTTATGATGATCGTCCTACACTTCAGACTTGTTATGCGGTGTGAGCTCAATACGATCGATCTGAACATATCAAAATGCGTTGTCATATGCCTCATTAATAAACACAATGTAACAACAAACATAATGAACTTTATTTGGGAGAGTGCTAAGTATGGATTCATTAAAAAAACAACAAATCACACTTTACAAGTACTTCTGCTACTAGATTATCATTTTGTTGTCTAGTTAGATCTTTAATAGAATATGGATCAACAGTATGGAACCTTATTTAGTCAAGTCATATTCATAGGATCTAGAAAGTTTCTGAGGTATTTGGCATACAAATTAAACATTCCATAGCTATGACTTTAAATTGCTGCAGGAGAAATTTAGGGTTAAAAAGATAAGGCAGGTATTAAGCTAATTTTTAGACTCATTATTTATATGGTTGATTGTCTCATATTGCTTTCTTCTTTGCGGCTCGCAGTTTCATCGCTAATTCTGAGATGAATGAATTCGAGATTATGCGTTTTTAGGAGACGTTAAAAATATAGATGTTAATAATAACCCATTAATAAAGGATTTATACAATAAATAAATTAACTCACATTCATCATCTGACCCATTACCATAAGGTCCCTAAATTAAATAATCAACAAATTAATTAATGCTTTAATTAATTAATCAACTAAGTTTAATTATGGTATTAATTAAGTGTCCGAAAAGCTCATAGTGTTGTTTAATTTGGTAAAGTTAATTTGTGTAGTTTTCACATACACTGTCGTGAAATTACAACAAGAACAGAAAATTCAATGAAGAATTTGCTTTCGTTTTCCACCAGCGGCGTTCGTCTCAAATCTGATCCGCCTGACGTCATAAAATGAATCGTTTCTGAAGTCGCTCGTTCATTTTAAGTAAGTTTAAGTAAGCAAATTAATCAAGGTTTTTTAACACTCTGTATCTCACACGTTACACATTACAGAGGGATCAACTGCTAGCTTAAATGCAGTGTGTCTGAAATAGGGATGGGAAACCATAAGAGATGCGGAGACGATTATACTAGAAAAAAATTGCAAAATTTCATGGTTGATCAAAATTGAAATTTGCCGATTTCATTTTCATTTTTTTTCTGGTGTTATTTAATGAGAGACAAAAAATAAAGATCACTTTCTTATTGCCACTTTTTGAGGTCTACAAGATCGCGTCGAGAAATTTTGTGTATGACGTTTCATATTGACGAATTCATCAACTTTATTTAAAATTATAAAGAATGTTCAAAGAGGTGACCATTATTTTTCATAAATAGATACACCTCGTAACTGTCGAAAGCATTCAAAAACTAGTCGTTTTAGTTGACACTTAGTCTCAAAAACTCGATGGTAATAGTATACTATGCAACAACTGTAATAAATAGCATTTGAGTCAACAGTTTATTGGTTGATATTGATATTGACATCAAATTTTCCATGACACTGTTTACAAAACTCAAGCTGGACAATAACATATCAAAATAAAAGTTGGATAGTTTTGGTGTTTTCACACATTCAAAATAAACTAAGTATGTAGGTGTATCTTTATGTTTTTATTAGGATCATACTCATACTTCATTTCTTTTAAAAGACGGTTTAAGCAACAAGGAAGCTTTACGGAGCGACTATAAATTTGACTTTTTTAAAAATTAATTAATAATAATAATAAATAATAATAATAAAAAAATACTAATAATAAAAATACGGCTTCAAAACTTTGGTAAAATGAAAATTTCTATGGATCTTCGCGAACAACTGTATCTAGTGCAAGTTCAATTTCATTTTGTAATAAGTCCAAATAGGTTTCTACCGTGAGGTTATAGTAGATAAAAAATTTATTTTTTATGATTGACTTCAAGTGTTAACAAAACGATATTCATGGTCTTGGCTCCAATTCCGACAGTTTAGAACATTTGGTTCGTTGTTGAGTGTGAATGTACTCACTCTTGTTTCTTCATCGCTTTCCCGGAGCTCTTGGTGCTTTTCGTATTTATAGAAAAAATAATAGCGTTCTTTTAATGTGCGCAAGACTGTGGTTCCATGTTTTTTTACAGCTTTTCCAAGAATCCTCATACTAATTATTTTGTTTTCCCCTACATGTAGTAAAATAAATCTCTGTTGTCCCTTTTCTCTGCTCTATTATCGACATGTTCAGCTAAACCGTTGCAGTTATTTATTACGATGCCTTTGGACTCGAATTGGGTAATAATAAGTTTAATTGTTGAAATCCAATGGTATAGTTTTGGCAGGAAAATAAAACTGGCAACATTTGAGACACTTAAGACTAAGACAAAAATTTAGATGGGATTTCCTATGGTCCGTTCGTCAATGCATCTCTTAAAGATCTAACCTTTAATAGTTTTCATAGAGAGCTTGATCGCTCCTTGCTCACTGTTTTGCTCTAGTAGGTTTCTCTTTTTATTTAATAATTAATAAAATTCTAACGCTAATATTTAAATCGTTCGCCAACTTTGTTGTTAAAATTCCCGTTATATTTTTACTTTTTATTTTCTATATATAGTAAGACATCATGTATGGTTAAGCATTCTTAACAGTCGTAACGTGTAATCTTAGTGGAATGGAATTTATTCACAGACCATGTGAAAAAAATAAAGTTGATGATAATCAAGTAATTAACCTTTAAATTTGGCAACTTTTTTCTAATCTTCGTATCTCTTATGATTTCCAATATTTCCATGATGATATCCTTATGTTGGATTATGGATCTTAGACACACCGTATAATAATAATAATGAATGAAAAACACTACGATTTCTTGTTTTATTCGATATCTAGCTCGAAAAAGCATTTCACCGCTTTCAAATCAATCACAACTAACCAAAACTTACTTCGTGCAACAAGTGGCCCATCTTCGGTCGCTTCCGCCCAGACACGTATCGTACAAAACGCGAACTACTGAAAAACGTGGGAAATTACAACCGAGTTCCGCCGTATCCACTCAAGGCATCGCGGCAGGCGCCGAATAACAACAACCGAAAATCCCGCGCCTCCTTCGACCGTCAATAACGCGCACTTCGCTTCCGAACGTTTTATATTGCGGTTCCGAATTCGTTATCAGCGAATTGCCGATAACCGTGCATTCGGACGTATTTGTTTGCGACGCGAGTAGCATACGACATTGCGTTGCCGTAGTTACGCTTCCGATTATGGATTTGCGATTTGCAAGGATACGTTGATTTTCTAACGGTGCCGACCAATCACAACGCGGCCACTTCTTCTTCTTGGCGCCAAATTTGAACTGAATCGTGTTTACGGGCATCGGCACAGCTCGAAGAAGAATTAAGGTTTATTTATTCATACCGTAAGCCGGGGTTTCTTCGCGCCGCCCGGTGTTACTTTGCCCCAATGCGAAAAGAAAGTTCATTTTAGTTCCCCACCAGACGATGCGTTAATCCGACACGAAAACCTGTGCCTTTTCAAGGTTGCCAATTTTTCCTTACGGCAGAAGTCATATTTGCTATTCCAAAATTCCTAACAGTTTTTTCTCTCAAAATTTCGTGTCTGGTGCAGTTTTCGTTTTACTTTCAACAACGCTCTATATAAGCATTATTGGTCGCATTCAGCGGACGTAGTTTGAGACGAAACCTTAAACTCTCTCTAGACACAGTTTACGATACTGTTCATATCAAATTATTAATTTAAAGTTTTTCATTTATCGCCAATAATTCACCCACAAAAGCGGAAATTTCTAGGACCTATTAGAATTTTTTGCCCACAAACAGCGTACCCTGTATATAATTCCAACAATGTTCGCAATAGTGGATATAGTCCTGGATCTCCTTAGTTTCCTGAGATACGAATTTTTCCAATGGAGTAAATGGTTTTCAAGAAACTACTTGTTTTCTGAAACCATGCAGTACGTGGTAATAGTAAATGACGTCATCGCGTCTAGATTTCGTTCGAGAAATGGTGATTTTCATTTGGATTTTTTCAAATATTTCGATCAGCGTATCTGATAGACCAAAACTGTAAAAATAAAAATTGTAGCCATGGATACGGTCTATAACACTGTCTGAACGGATTAGCTATTTTTTATCCATAACTAAAACACCTTGTATATAATCGAAAAAATGCGTGAAATAAAAGTTATAGCGCCGGGTATCCCACGTATTACTGATGTAAAATTTTTCCGATCGGATGAATGGTCTTGGAGGAAAAGATGTTTTTCTGGATGTCAAAATAACCAAAAAAAAAAACTTCTCGTTATTTTATTGCTCCCAGTTTAGAGTCTAAATGCGGGTTCAGACTTCTACTTCTCTCCCAAGTCTGAAGTCGGTAGCTGCAAATTTGGAGCAGTTATTATGTTTTTTAATATTGCACCCTCTACAATACTTAAAAACCTTAAATACAAAAGTTTTAGCTTTCTATATGGGCTATATCGTCATGTAAAAGAAATTGACATCTAAACCACAGATTTTAAATTATTGCGAATTTTCAATATTAGGGGACCCATTTTTCAGTATATTTGAATTTGCGGCGCACCTTGTATATTTTTGAAAAATTGCCAAGAATAAAAGTTTATGGAGCCGTATCCTCTGCGTCTTCCTGTTTAAGAATTGTTTTTGTGTTGTAAACGGTTTTTGCAAAATGGTCTTTTTTGTAGACCCTTGCACATGCGATTTTTATTTTTTAAAAAAACTTCCCGACCCCCAGCCCCCCCGCCCACCATTTTCAATAGGTTCCGTCACAGGGCAAAACTGCATATGTTTGCCAAATATGAAGTCGATTGTTTCATATTTCGGACACTTATCGTGTTTCGTAGCAATGTTCAAAATACAGTGGAAAATCGTGAAAAAAAGATGAATGCCGGCGTCGGATCATTCGTGGACGTTCAAAAAGGAGGCAAATTACAATTTTGTAGCTCCAACGGTTCGAAAGTTATCCAGGAAAAACCAACAGACGAGAACGGAGAACGGACAGACAAAAAAAATTTTTTTTCGACGCTGATCATTTCTGTACCAATGGCGATCTCATAGGTCCTACCGTTATCGAGATACAAAATTTTTATACGAGTGTAAATACTTTCGAAAAATCGATTTTTCGATAGTAGCAAGTGTTAATAAGGTAAAAACGTCTTTGTATTCTAGTATCTACCACATCAGAAATTAGAAAACAAAATGACGGAGGATAATATAAACATAAATGTGGTTGGCCAAATGGCAGAACCAATTCGAATATCTGAGAAGAATGAAGGTGGTAGGTGTCCAATACCAAAAAATCAGAAGTATTACGACAAGACTATAAGGAGTTATGAAGGGAATTTATTCTTAGAATATTTTCGAGGCCTGCATTTGTAAACTTATTAAAGAGGTCTATTTTAGTATTTATCACAACGCCTAGCACGTTTCGGAGCAACGAGACATACGATAATATGTTTAGAAGTGGTGCTAAAACAGGAGCTACCACACCTGGAAGTAGATATTGCACATGAGGGTGGAAACCAAATAGCAAATATGCTTTTATAACAAATCAAATACATTTTTGACTTATTGCTCATTTTGTTTTGTAATTCACATAATTAGTGCAAAATTGTATTTCTTTCCTCCTGAATTTCGTTGCCTCTTTCAATGACGTTTCGTAAGGATTTAATTTCTTGTACTCCAGCTTCCTCGGTATTCACCAGCCTTCTTTGTAGATAAACCATTCCACTCTTTGACGTGCTAGGATTTGAAGTTCAAAAATGAAAACATGCCATAAGCCTTTAATTTTTTTAATTATACCAATAAAAAAAATCGTTGAAACTTTACATACGGGATGTTTCTCTGTTTGCAGCGGTTTCCATCTGCGGAGTCACTGGGATAGCGAGTGGATCTTTCTTATTTTAGGCAAGAAGCTTCAATTCTTTTTCCTTTATTTATGGAAGCGCTACGTCGATGATACTTTTGTTATTTGGCTTCATGGTCAAGAATCCCTACTAGATTTTCTTAGACATTTAAACTCTATACACCCTAACATATGTTTTAACATTGAGTTAGAAACTAATAATAACCTTCCATTCTTAGATATTATTATCAAGAGAAAATCAGACCTAACATTGGGTCGTTGTGTTTACAGAGAACCTACGCACACAGAGATTAATCCATTGTCACATCACCATCAAGACCAAAAATCATCAGTTATCAACTCTCTTGTTTACAGAGCCGTAAAACTATCTCAAAAGATCACTGACCACATATCAAAAGTTCTAATAAAATATAACGTCAAAACTACACAAAAATCTCTCAACATTTTCGATCCGTCAAAGACCAAATTCCATTTGAGATGCCAGGAGTTTACAGCATTCCATGCATAGGCGGCAAAGAATACATTTTTACAGACCGGACGAAAAATATCAACTAGGGTCAAAGAACAGGAAAGAGCCTTAATACTAAGACAAATAAACTCATCAGCAGTTGCCGCACAATCACGAACCAGACATAAAATTTTATTCGATAAGACTAAAATTCTTGCATGCTATCAATTCTTCTACTAACGAAACTTCCGAGATTCTATAGAAATCTATAAGCAACCTAACAATCTTAACCGCGACTCAGGTCTTTACTTGTTACAAACATGAGGAATCAGTCATCCGAGATGGTGTTTATGCCCCTCATTTAGCTCCAATCCCCTCAAACAATATTTAAGGAGCTACAGAGTAAAATGCGAGCTAGTTTCAGTCAATCTCTGAACAAGTCAACAGGTTGATTGGCCAAACGTTAGCAAGGGACGTTAGCAAGGGTCGCGGGAGGAATCCACAAGTTTTGTAAAGAGTATTACACTAGCCTGTGAAAGTCTCTTTGAAAAATTAATAGGCACTGCTGTCGACGTTATTAGTTTGGGGAGGTTAACTGTCTTTTGTCCTCCGTATATATTTCATTAAACTGGTGATAATATTCTCAGTAAATTCTACCCCTTCCAATTTTCTATATATTGGCTTTGATGCCTGTGTCAGTTTTTTTCGGGTTTCTGCATTTCCTATCCATAAATTCTGCAAATAACTTAAACTTGCATATCTATTTCATGTGAGTGAAATTTGCTTTTAAAAAACATTACCGTTTGTTTAAAAAAAGATATACTTGATACGATTTTCGAAAACTCGAGGGGTTTTCAAGAAAACTTACCTGTTGGGACCCTGAATTTTTTTTTTGTAAATACTAATAATAACATAAATAATAAGAAAGAAGATATATTCAATTCATACCCGCCATCACTGTTCAATTCACCTTGTTCAAATTCACCACTTTCAAAACCAAATTCTAGAACAAAATAAACCCGCTACCAAAAATAGCATCCACCCCCCAACGTGTTGCAATCTGTATACAAGCAACTTTTTTTAGTTCAACTGTTCTGTATAAGCAACTTATTTATTACTTTTTTAAAGCTAAATATTTGAGTTAAGTGTAGGCCAATCAGAAGTAAAATCAGCTGTTCACAACAACATAACCTGAAATTGTAAAAAAATCTGTTATCGGGATATGTTTATGTTTTGTGCTGCCAGTATTGAAGTGAATTTTTGTTAAATTGAATAGTTACTTACTCTTTTAGTTACTGCTAATTAATTAATTAATTAATATTTTTGTGCTATAAATTAAGGACATTGAAAATGGTCAGAAAATAAAGGACTTTTGTAACGAATATAAAGTTGCCAAATCTACAATAAATAAAGTAAAAAAAAATAAAGAAAATTTAGAAGAATATGCATCCAAAACAACAAAACAAAGTGGCAATAAAATATAGTGAACTCGATGATACAGTGTTTTCTTGGTTCTTGGAACGGCGACATTTAAACGATGTAGTTACAAATGAAGTGATAAAATTAAAACTATTTAAAAATTATATTGCTGAAAATGGCTTTTTGCCTGAACAAATAAATCATTGCGATGAAACTGGTCTCGCCTATAAAAGCTTGCCCAATAAAAATAATGTTACAAATTATGAAGGAAATAGTAACAATTATGCAATGTAGGTACGCATAAATTAGACTTGATGATGATCGGCAAATAGAAGTCTCTTTACTGCTTCAAAATTATAGATTTACTAGTATATTATTGCAAACTAATACACTTTTTAGCGATTGAAATAGTGATATGCTTATAACTTGAATAACTCGACACTTGGA